CTTTGTTTCCCCAGGGGAAACTGCTCCCCTCTTTTAACCAAGTGATTTCTGTAAGAACTTACAGAACAAGAACTGTATTTATTTTACTGGAGGTATCATGTGTAACTTGTTCTTTAAACACCGTTGCATTAAAAAGCTGAAAAGAACATGTTACATTAAAAAAAGAGACTGTTACCCACCAGTGCTATGACAGTGGCACCAGCTCCAGCACAGGCCACAATGAACAGGTGATATGACATGTAGAACTAGAAAGGAACACACTGAAATTAAAACCAATTGAGTACGTGACAATCACAATGAAGTCATCTCATTGCACACTTGACGCTTTATTTTTATTCACTGTTTTTCTCTATTCAAAGATACTCTGTATAAGTATTGCAGGTGTTTTACAGTCCGACTAGAAAGAAGCCCAAAAAGAGCCTTTTCAGAACAACATGCATTTCAGAAGTATCTCCTTTTTCTGGATGGCAATAACCCTGATGTTCGCTAGTGTGTAAAGATGATACAAGCAGGTTAATAAAAGTCTCTGAAAAGGGCACTCTTCTTTCCCCCTTTCATTAAGGGTTATGAGACCAGCAAATTGGTTATGCTAGTGTACCTCATTTGTGTTGCAGATATTCTCTAAAACCGGACCGCAAGCTCTGCCAGGTATAGCATTCCAGGGGATGATGCCTGCAGTGACAACACCAGAGCAATATGTATCATTGGAATCAATAGCCAACACATAACTTCCCATTCATCTTCCATCTCCTTCCTCCCCACCCACATGCCAGTTGTGTTCCCTTATTGTGCACCCACACATTGACCAGGACAGCTTTTAAGTTGGCAGGAGCAACTAAAACAATCGTTCAGACTACATTCTTGTTACATAAAGACTAGCTGCTTCTAGCCAAGATATGTTCTCAGATGTAGGCTTCCCATATGGCAGCCAAATGGTGGCTTTACTCACTGTGGGCCCCATCACATGCTCAGCACTTGTAGGAGGTAATCTGTGCCTCAGAGGAAGTTCAGAATTTAAGTCAATAGGAACTCAGTAGGTCCTTATCAAACCAAACCCCAGTTGAGTGTTCAGGGTCCCACAGAAGGGGAGTATACCTATGGTGGTAGGGCCATGCAGGGGTGGTAGGGCCCTCCACCATGTGCATGGTGGTAGGGTGTAGTTGACACACAACCAAGGGACTCTGAAATCCTTTCAAAGGGTACTGCACCAGATTACCACGGACAGGCATGGAAACCCCTATCCATAAATTACAAGATGAATCCACAGATATCAAAAACATCCGGACCTGTTGCAGTCTGAGTTCTTGGCAAAAACTGAATTGTGTAGTCAAAAGCAAGTGAAACTTAATTGCTGCTAGTTTTTACAGGGTGCCTTGAGTCTAAAAAAAATGAGAACCCCTAGAGCAAGGGGTGAAGAATCCTCTCTTTCTGTGTTATTTCTAGTAGGTACAAAATTTAAGACGTGAACCACTTTTACCCCCCAAAATGTGCTAAATAATTATCCATCTTTAGTTTTTTAAACTAGATCCTATTGTCATGGTAATTTTATCTGGAAAGTAAACCATTTTAAAGTGTATTAATACTTGGCCTTCATACTATAACTCAGAGTCTTAACTCTGCCGATTGGATAAGCAGGTTCTTTGGACATGAATTTTTCTTAAATTGGTACAACTCCAGAAACAGCTTCATAGTTAAACTTTATATGTTGTTTAAATAAGAAAGTGTATAAGGCTTCGATCTAAAATGTGTTTTACTAAATAAGGCATTACCTGTATTTTTTAGTGAAAACTAAAAATATTTTTGGTCACCATTGTTCAGATTTTCAAGAGCTTTTTAGCTAAGTATAAAGGGATCTTCAAAAGTATCCAGCTTGTGTTTAGGCATTTTACTTCCATTGCAATCAATTGCAATTAAATACCTAATCTGTTTAGGTGCTTCTGAAAATCCCATTAGGTACCTCTGTATCTCTATGGACCTAGGTACTTTTAAGATCTATGTCCTTCAATTTTTTTAAACATCTTATCCTCTTGCACCTGGATTTTATTCATAGAGTGTGAGTTGAAAAAGGAAGAAAGCTTTTTTCCCCAGTCAGTTTCTGAACTTTGAATGTAGTCCAAATGAAGAAAATGTTCTCTCTGCAACTGCTTGCTAAATTGGAAGCAAAAGTAATTAAAGCAAAGGACTTTTCCTGTGCAACAAACTGAAAGCACTAGAAATGTGCAACTATCCATGTTCATTCCACTGTAACGCACAAAGTTTCAGTTGACTTTAAGTTAGATGTTTCTGTAAGAATTAAAAACCAGCATGTTTTTAGCTTGTCAAACTTTAAGCCTCAACATAATTTCAACTTTAATTTTAAAAGTTTTTGAAATAAAAAGCAATTTAAATAAAAAAGATTCCATTTTAATCTACCCTAGAGAAAAGCATTTATTATACTGATTGACCTATTTATTATTTACGTATTAGATTTGCATGTCACCCTGACATTGTATGGGTAGCAGCTACATTGCTGCAACATCACTATAGGTAACTTGCCAATTCACTTAAACAGAATGCGTCTGAAAAGAGGTCACTGTAATCTGCATTATTTAGAAAAGTCTTGACATTCAGATATACTTTAGTCTGTTGCTTTTTTGTTCATCTTATATGGCTGAGATTAATCTAATGAAGATAGAGCAAGGAAAGAAGATAAAGCATTTAAATCAGGATTAACATAAGTACCATATTGCCTGATATCCACGCAGATCTGGTCTCCTGAAGCTGTCATATTTGTCTGGAGTGATTTGATGACTTCACAACTTGACCATATGTTATAAAACATAAAGACGGGCACAGCAGAGAAGCCGAAGACACCAAGCCAGGCTACTCCAAGTACATAAGTGAGGAAAACAAACTAGGCAGAGAAAACAAATTCCATGTTTAATTTTTTGTAGGTGACAAAATATATGCACTTTTCCGAGAGATCCTTCTTAAAAATAGGGTCCTAAACATAATTTCCAAATACTTAAAGCTGGTTTCCATTTACAAGGAACAATTTGCATGGGATCTTTTGGGCAAAACAAATGGCCAGGTCAGCATTTGTCGTTGCCTCCTCGGTATCTTCTTCAACCAATTTGTCCCCCAAGGCACTAATGAAAACGCAAACACTTATAATCTCTTTGAGTAAGCAGCTTGCCCTTCTGAAACAGCAGTTCGTTACTTTCATGAATTCTTAACCAAAGGAAATCCCGGTTTTCAGTTCAAACTAGTAAACTGCCCACTATTTTTTTCTTTTTAAAAACATTTACCAAATATACCGGAAATACTTCAGTGCTTGAAAGCTGAAAACTGTGGAGCAACCGGCTCCCTAGAGACTGGTGTATTTTGAATGTAAATTTAAGGAAACCCATTCCTGGAAAATGAATGTGGATGCATAAAAACGAGACATCAGAAACCTTAACTGAGATGTATATTGCCAAATATGAATGCTTAAAACTCTTTAACATTAATAGGGAGCACCACAGAAAAGCAAGAATCATAGAAGTGCCACAGTGTGGCCTTATAACATTCCCTCTTTTTCCATTTTAGTGCAGAGGCAACTTTAACCTTTTTTTTTTTTTTT